TAGCTTATATGTGTGCATATTATGTGATGATTCATTTCATAAAACGTTTTATTAAATGAATCATCGCACAATATGCACACATATTTTAATTTTGCCTAAACTAAAGTCTATAGTGTTGATAATAGTAATACATGTATATCACTTAAAGTTGGGGGGGCTAAGCCCCCCCTTCATGAAAGTTGGGGGGGCTTAAGCCCCTCCTGCCCCCCCTGTTCCTACCCCTATGTCAGTAGTACAATGTACTCAAGTATACACATTTTACTGTCTGTACTAATTTTATCATTTATTACCAGTCAATGGAATACCATACCTACCAGTCAATGGAATACCATACCTACCAGCCAATGGAATGCACAGTATCCAATTAATCAATAATACACAACTGATGATAGTCTTATTACACTCTCTCTCTCTCTTACCACTGAAACTGGTTCATGTTTAAGTCTCTACTGACACTCCAGAGCTGTCAAGGAAAGTCCTTAATCAGTACATACAGTATTAGTTCATTTACTTACATCAGTCCTTTATCACGCAACACTCCATTAGGACAGATGCTAATGAAGCTACTGGTCAGAGGTGGTCAGGAATGAAAAAGGCGCCATTTTAGACACGTTGTAACACGTGGGATGAGTGGGCTCTGATTTATAGGCGTGGCTAATGGTGTAAAGCTGAGCTGCTTTTTATGTAGCTGTTGTAGTTGAAAAGTTGCAAGACTTAAACAGAGTTTGGGTTGAGCTTGGTAAGATATGGGAACAGATTGATGAGTTAAGGGACAAACCATGGCCCTCTGTCTAGCCTAGAAAGGTAATTTAGATCAATTAATGTGCATGCATGTATATGTACATGAATTGTGATATTATTGATATTACAATTGTGGTGCTCTCATATTGTATATTGGTAGTTATAATCGCATATAATTATGATATACATGCAACATTCATACCTTGATTAATACCTTATTGTGGTTCCCTTTCTATTCACTTTATTTCTTACTATACAACGTACATACTACATGTATGGTCTTCTTTTTTCACTGATATTTTCTATTACATGTACATGTATGTATTTGTATTTTTCTTTTTATTTTTTCATGTTTTCTTTCTCTCTCTTCCATTAGATAAGACAGTCTCTTGACGGTCTCCTTACTCAAATGAAAACGAGGAAGGTTTTGATGAGGTTTTTTATGAGGAAGAGCTAGACGTTCCTCTTATTCTCTTTAATGAAGTCCTTGACCATGTCCTTTGTTAGTCTCGCTAGCCAGACCATTCCCCAGCCTACAGTCATTGGGGTGGACGGCGGGGAAGGGTCTGGTACACTCTTTAATGTAGTTTTGTTCTCCCGTCCAAAAGTGGACGTGACCAATCAGATTCAGTTATCCATGACATGTGACCACAAGTCACATTAAATATTAATTATCAAAATGGCGACTTTTCAAGAGTTGTGGAGAGAATGCTGAAAAGCAAGCTATAGAGTGGTAGCATCCAGCGTCTTATTGATTCTGGAGAGGCATCTTAGTGAAAGGTATCCAGGTAATATGCTACAAGTTTGTCTGGATGCCTTGAAACATGCATTTCGGTTCAATTTTATTGTTGTTTCATATAAACAGTATTTTTGTTGTTGAATTGCACTTTTCCCTTCTTCCTTCTCTTTTTACTGGTTTCATTGTATTTTATAATCATTATAAGACATTTTCAATAAATAAAATATGAATAAAATAGAATTATTGGGGCGAGCATAAGCGAGCCCCACTCAGGCGAAGTCTCCCTCCCTCCCTCCGTATGTATGTATGTATGTATGTATGTACGTACGTCTCCAGTCACGCCTATTCTGGTCACACCCGGTACCCCATGTGTACACACTCTCTATTTAAAATCAATCAATGATCTAATGCGGTAGAATCTAATGAAATATTTTCATAATTTTAGATAGAAACACGTGTAAACTGTGAAGTGAACATAGCAAGAAGAAACTATTGATTTTCTTTTATCAAAAGTATTGTTATCTTCTTTAAGTATTCGTCATGAGTAGCAACGAAGATAAGAAGCGTCTCCGTAATGAACGAGACAGAGAGCGAAGGAGGAACGAGACTCCTGAAGAGAAGAAAGCACGAAGAGCTAGCAGGAATGAAAAGGACGCTCTTCGTCGAGCTCAGAGGAGACTGGTGGGAGTTCCAGACCCAAGACTAACTAGAGAAACGGTCAGTCAGAGAGAAGAACGCTTAGCTGGCAACAGAGCTAGATCTCAGTCTATAAGAGATAGGGAAAGAAGTCCTGTGAGAGAAGAGCGCCTAGCTAGCAACAGAGCTAGATCTAGGTCCCTAAGAGACAGGGAAACAAGTCCTGTGAGAGAAGAGCGCCTAGCTAGCAACAGAGCTAGATCTAGGTCCCTAAGAGACAGGGAAACAAGTCCTGTGAGAGAAGAGCGCCTAGCTAGCAACAGAGCTAGATCTAGGTCCCTAAGAGACAGGGAAACAAGTCCTGTGAGAGAAGAGCGCCTAGCTAGCAACAGAGATAGATCTAGGTCCCTAAGAGACAGGGAAACAAGTCCTGTGAGAGAAGAGCGCCTAGCTAGCAACAGAGATAGATCTAGGTCCCTAAGAGACAGGGAAACAAGTCCTGTGAGAGAAGAGCGCCTAGCTAGCAACAGAGCTAGATCTCAATCAATAAGAGACAGGGAAACAAGTCATGAGAGAGAACATCGCCAAGCAGTGGACAGAGCTAGGTATCATGAAAGGAGAGAGAGGGAAACAAGTCCTGAGAGAGAACATTGCCAAGCAGTGGACAGAGCTAGGTATCATGAAAGGAGAGAGAGGGAAACAAGTCCTGAGAGAGAACATTGCCAAGCAGTGGACAGAGCTAGGTATCATGAAAGGAGAGAGAGGGAAACAAGTCCTGAGAGAGAACATTGCCAAGCAGTGGACAGAGCTAGGTATCATGAAAGGAGAGAGAGGGAAACAAGTCCTGAGAGAGAACATTGCCAAGCAGTGGACAGAGCTAGGTATCATGAAAGGAGAGAGAGGGAAACAAGTCCTGAGAGAGAACATTGCCAAGCAGTGGACAGAGCTAGGTATCATGAAAGGAGGGAGAGGGAGACGACTTGTGAGCAACATGAAGCCATTCCACATTGTAGAGCTTCATCTCCATATGATAGAATGCTCCAATATCATGAGACAATGTCATCAATCAAGTTTCTCAAGTGCGAGACATGTTTGGAAAATTTTCCAAATTTGTCAGTATCTCTTCAGTCTAATGGAGTCAGTGAGTGCAATAGGTGTGCTAATGATAAGCGCATTCCCAAGCTGTACTCCAGTGGGAACAACATGGACCCAGGAGTGGTACCAACACAATTACAGGTATTATCACTATTCTTACTAATTCTTGCTTAATATTTTTATTTATTGTTAGGGACTCACACAAGCAGAGGAAATGTTGGTGTCTGCTATAATGCCAGTTATGTCCATTTACAGGCTACCTCACGGACAGTATGGCTATAGTGGACATGTCGTCAACTTTCCTCAAGATGTAAAATCATTTGCCATCAAACTACCCCGCCTATCATCTGAGATTAATGTGCTGGTTGTAAGGAAAGAAAGGGAGCAGACACACAGGGACTTTCGTGTTCGTAGGAGAGTTGTGGAAGAAGCTCTTGCATGGTTGCTGGCTAATAATATCTATTACAGGAGTATTGGTGTTAGTCTTGATCAAGGTACTTTGGCCAGTCTACCTGAAGATGGAGATCTCACTGATCTTTGCACAATTCAGCCAACAGAGTCTGAAGCATCAGATGGCACTACTACTACTGAAGAACACTTCTCTTCATCATTTGTACCTAACGCAGCACCACCAGCTACTGAGAGGGAAACCATCCAGCAAGCTGTTCAGTCCTTAGGACAGCCACAATCATCAAACCTCATGTGGCCAAGCATTGGAGGGACGCCTATTAATGAGTTTCAAACAGAGGGCTATTTTTCAATGGCATTCCCTACTTTGTTTCCTACTGGTAGGTGTAGATACATGTACCTCTAACAGTAAATTAATTCATAATAATTATTTATATTTATTAGGTACTGCTGACTTCAATGGAACACGTATATTTTCAGTCACAGTTGGCAACTACTTCACACACCTCATGAAGTACAATGATGGGAGGTTTGCCAAGCATCCTCGGTTCCGTTTCTTTGCTCTCAACACTGAGATGAGATGGCGTGCAAATGAAACAGGGCGAATTTACATCAGACAACATCCTGGTGAAGCTCACCTCACTGTTGATGACCTGAGAGATATGATTGGTCGCGAAGGAGAAGTGTTTGCTAACAAGGTGACACATTATGGAGCATGTCTTCGTGGTACCAGGCAGTATTGGTTTAGAGAGAGGAATCGTCTCATTGCTATGATAGACACTCTGGGCCTGCCCACCATCTTCTTCACTCACAGTGCTGCTGATCACCAGTGGCCTGAGTTAGCTAGCCTCATCTGTCCTGAACATCCAGATGACAAACAAGCTCGTGCTAAAGCAGTAGTCAATAATCCTGCACTAGCTGATTGGTTCTTCACCTACAGAATCCAAAGGTTTGTGGAAGTGTTCTATGTTGGTATACTTGGAGCCACAGATTACTGGATGAGGTTTGAGTGGCAGCATCGGGGCAGTCCTCATGTACATGGACTAGCTTGGTTACCCAATGCTCCTAATGTTGAGAACCTTCTCTCATCATCACCTGATCTTGTGGAGTCAACTAAACAAGAGATCATTGAGTATGCTGACAAGATAATATCAACCATTAATCCTGCTGTCCTTCCTGATGGCAGCAATGTCAGTGATGCTCCACCAGCAAAGGTTGACCCACACATATGTAACAAATCATTTTCACAAGTAACTGATTTCGAGGAAGACCTGAATGATCTTATTGCCACCTGCCAACGTCACACTCGCTGTTCAGAGTCCTACTGCTTACGTACACGCAATGGCAAGCAAGAGTGTCGGTTTGGATATCCTAAAGATCTTCAGGCACAGACCACCATCAACATCACTGAAGAGGAGCCTGTAATACTCACTGCACGTAATGATGGGATGCTCAACAGCTTCAATCCCATTCAACTAACATCCTGGCGTGCTAATGTTGACATGCAGTACATTGTGTCAAAGAACAGGGTTGTTCAGTACTGCACCAAGTATGTCACCAAGAGTGAGACTAGGTCACAGTCTTTGAAGGATATATTTGCTAACATTGCTCGTTCTCTGAAAGATGGCAATCGATCACTTAAAGCTGTTCAGAAGCTCCTCATAAACACCTTTGGAGAGAGGGACTATTCAGCACAGGAAACCTGTCACCTTCTATTGCAGCTCCCTATGTACAAGGCATCAAGGAGTTTTACCAACCTCAGTCTTGATGGCTCTAGAGGTGTTGAAAACACTGCACAAGAGGGAGAGAGGGTGACAGCTCATTCTGTGTTGGATCATTACATATCACGTCCTTCAACTACACACTTCAACTCAATCACTCTCTTGGATTTCACTCGTCAGTACACAATGCCTAAGGAATTGGGTACCGAACCAAAGAAGAGAAGCAAAGAAGTGATAGTCACTCCCAAACCATACTGTTCACCAGATCCATCAGGTCCCAACTATGAACAGTACTGCTGTCAGTCTCTGATGCAACACAAACCATTCAGAGACATCAATGAGTTAAAGACTGGCTTCAACTCCTTCACTGAGGCGTTTGCTGATTTCCTTCAATCTGGAAATGTTCCTCGTCTC